ACGCCACTGAGTGCTTATTCCACCCTTGTGTATCGTTTGCACCGCCAATCTGCTTTCAAACGGAGCGGGTCTCAGAAACAAAACTATGGAAATTTCCGCTCATCATAAATGCTATACGTTTCCAATGGTGCAATCATGTTTTATTATAGATCATTCGACGCGTAATTGCACGACGAACACGATAATGTAACTAAAAAAAATAACGCATGTATAGTTTTTAAATTATCTGAAATAACGCTCTCAAACGGCACTGGATGTAGATTTTGCATTTGGTGCAGAAACTGTTTACATGCACAGAAACACTTGCCGCTGTATTTACAATGAATCAACCATGCCCTAAAATTCCGAAGTGAAAAATTGCGTTTTGAAAACTTTCATTTTTTTTGAAAAAATGGTTACGCCCAAAATTTTTGATCGTCACCCGGTCATCAAAAAAGAAGTCAACAAGTGGTAACAGCGTTTTACATCGTTTGCAAGTAAAAGCAGCCTGCTATTCTCATTCCTTCGAGAGATATGAGTTTGGAACGTTCTATTACCCAAAAAAGGCCGTTTTCAAATTCTGCACAGTTGTTGCGTTACACCTGTTTTGACGCAGAATTGCCTTCCCGTGCTATGGTGTGGCATTAAGTGCGCAGTGCCGATAGGTTTTCAGTAAGGTACAACCAACGTCAAATTATGTTGAAAAATGGCCATCTCGTGCAAAACACGTCAACCAGCACAGAACATGCATCCGCTTGGTCATCGCGGTGAATTTGCTATTGGCACTCATTTGAGACCAAAAAAACGTCCGTTTCTGCATTTTACATTTTTCGCAACAAAGTGGCCGTGGCAAGATTTGTGTTCACTTGCATGTTGACAACAACGGCACTGAATGTTTGTTTCATCACTGTGTGTCGTCTGCACGTGCAATCTGCTTTCAAACGGAGAGGGTCTCAGAAACAAAACCATGGAAATTTGCCCGCATCAAGAATGCTCTATGTTTCCAGTGGTGCAATCATGTTGTATTATAGGTCATTAGATGCGTAATCGCAAGGCGAACGCGATGGTGGAACTTAAAAACTATACATGCTTTAATTTTTTAGTTAGTTGTAAAAAACATTCACAAGCGGCGCTCGATGTAGATATTGCAAATGCTGTAGAAACTATTTACATGGACAGAAACACTTGCCGCTGCACTTGCACACTAAATGGACCATGCCCTTTTGCTCTGTGAAAAATGATCTTTTTTGTATAGTACATTATTTGATATTTGATATTTGACACACTATATTTGAAAATTGTATTTTGTTCGAAAAAATGATCGCGCCAAAGTTTTTGGTCATCATTCGGCGATCAAAAAGGTAGCCAACAGATGGTAACATCGTTTTTCATCGTTTGCAAGTAAAAGCAGACTTCTATTTTCATTGGTTCGAGAAATTTGGAACGTTTTGCTACCCAACAAACAGCCGATTTCAAATTCTGCTGAGGTGTTGCGTTCACCTGTTTTGACGCAGAATTGCCCTCCCGTGCTATGGTGTGACATAAACTGCCCAGTGCCGATAGGTTTCAGTTGGGTTAAACCAACGTGAAATTTTGCTGAAAAATAGCCATCTCTTGTAAAACGCGTCAACGAGCACAAAACAGGCATCAGCTTTGTACTCGCAGTGAATTTCCTATCGGGCCTCATTTGAGACGAAAAAACGTCCGTTTCTGAATTTTTGCGTTATTTGCAACAAAGTGGCTCCGGCGAGATTTGTGTTCACTTGCAGGTCGACAACAACGGCACTGAAAATTTCTTTCATCATTGTGCATCGTCTGCACGTGCAATGTGCTTTCAAGCGAAGCGGGTCTCAGAAACGAAACCATGGAAATTTGCGCGCATCAAAAATGCCATATGTTTCCAGTCGTGCATTCATGATTTCTTCTAGTTCATTCGACGCGTATTCGCAGGGCACACACGATGGTGTAACTGAAAAAAATTAACGCATGTATAGTTTTGAAGTTTAAAAAAAAAAACACTCACAAGCGGCGCTCGATTTGGATATTGCATTTGCTGTAGAAACTGTTTGCATGCACAGAAACACTTGCCGCTGCATTTACACACTAAATTGACCATACCCTTACATTCCGAAGTAATAGAAAATTGCGTTGGAAAAATTTTAATTTTTCAAAAAATGGTAACGCCGAAAAATTTTTGGTCATTAAACCGGTGTCAAAAATGTAGTCAACAGGTGGAAACATCGTTTTTCATCGTTTGCAAATAAAAGCAGCCTTCTTTTGTCATTGGTTCGAGAACTATGAGTTTGGAACGTTTCACTACCCAAAAAACGTCGGTTTTCAAATTCTGCACAGGTGTTGCGTTTCACCTGTTCTTGTTTCACCTGTTCACCTGCTCCTGCATGTTGAAGCAGACCACGACAAATACTACGTGTGGGTTCAATGTGATTAAAGGGAGTGGTTCACATTTGTATGGGACTTTGAACTGAAAAAGGTCATCTTGAAGATCATTCGGTGTAGTTCACAGCCATGCCCCTCTTGAGACCTAACACTCTAGTTTCTGAGCTACACATCCGCGAATATATGCCGACTATTTTGCACAGACATTTTCAAGGTTACCCAGGCATCCATGACACCATAATGAGGGAATTCAAATATTGCCATCCCACTAGCCATGTGGCACCAAAGGACAAAACAATAATCATAGCCGAGTCGTTCATATCTGGCGTTCGTGCGCACGATCTCCGGATATAACAGCCGTCAATCGGCTCTTAACTAATGTTGTGTTACCTACGCACAATTCGAAGACGAATCACGTTTTGTGCTTTATGACACAAGAAGTTATTTCTTCTTCCTAGCTTTTACTGAAAGGGGATGCAACTACAGCCCGCTATCGAACTTTTTTTCTACGCCGTTACCCAAGAACAGGTAACCAGGAGTGCTCCTCCCTCAATCCCAGCGACGCAGTAAACCGTACGTTAACGCCAGAAAACATAAAATCAAGTCGCGGCACTGCCAGCTAGGAAGATGACACAAACTTAAAAAAAAAAAAAACAGGCGAGGAGGTGGAGCAGACCCGAGGGAATTGTGTTATGTGAGAGGTAGGGAAAAATCATAGATGAAAAGGCATAAAGTAGTCAATAGCCAAAATCAGCTAATGACAGCCCGCTACAACCGCCCAATAATCTACAACCACTCAATTCCCCGTGTTAGTAAGGGTTATACAGTCACAAGTCGGAGGGGGGGGGGCAATTACCTGGTCATTTTTGTGCTGAGTTTTGAGCTGGAGTTCCAGGGAGTCCACCCAGCTAAGCAGAGCTTGTTGCTGGGAGAACTCCCGGAGCCAGCGCCATGAATTTGGGTATATGTGCATGACTTTATATCAGAAATTGATCATGAAACATGAAGGAGGTCAAGTATGAAGTGCGTTGGATATGTACAGCACAAGGATGGCAATGTCTTCAAATATGTTTGCTACGTTAATATGTGTTCACGAAATGCTTGCGGATGATGTTCTTAACGATGGTTTTCGATACAGGGATATCAGCTATTCTTGGAAAATATGAAACCATAATGTCATTCTACAGCTTAGGGCCAAGGCAGGATGCTGTAAATAGTCTATAATTACGATGAGAGAAAAGTTGTTCTCAATGTTTTGCTCGCCTCATATCCATGTCATTGGATTCGTGGAGATTGTAAAAAAATCGAATGATGCAGAGAGCTGTGAAGTTAAAAATTTGTGCATCGCAATTAACATTTGAGATTTAGCAATATCCGATAGTTTCAAAATTTTGTATCGTTTAAAGATTGGCTCTGAGCTTTGCGGAGGATACACATTTTCTATAAGACGCACAGCCCTTTTTTGCAAAATTACCAATCGATCTAGTTGAGAAGCATAATGCATGCCCCAAACCAAGCAGCAGTAATTTAGGTAAGGAAGAATCAAAGTGTTATAGAGTAGATGTGACGTTGTTTTATCAATAAAGTACCTAACCCTACTCATTATTCCAATATTTCTACTTACCATGCTTGCAACAAAATTAGTGTGGCTTGTAAACTTAAGAGATTTGTCAATGATTACACCGAGGTATTTCATTTCTTTTTTCTCTTCAATAGGTGAGTTATTAACTTGCACATTTAGTCGGAAATGCGAAGAAAGGGTTGTGTAATGCTGTGTGAATGTTTTTGATGCGTTCAGGGAGAGAAAATTACCAGCAAACCAAGAAGTCATTAGAAGCAAAAGCGTACTGACATTGTTTTGAAGTTCGACAATACTTTTATTTTTGAAAACAATCGCAGTATCATCAGCATAAGACAGACAAATCATGTTACTGCTTAATTTAGGTAAGTCATTGATGTACATTAAAAAGAGGATTGGGCCGAGAATGGATCCTTGGGGTACCCCATTGTTACGTTTTTGATTGTTAATAGATCATTCCTGATTTTTACACATTGAGTTCTGCCAGACAAATAAGAAGAAATGATTTCATGAGATTTTCGTCGAATACCATATTTAGTAAGTTTACGTAGAAGAAGGCTAATGTTTACAGTGTCAAAGGCTTTTTCAGATCTAAATACAAACCTAACACATATTCCCCATTTTCAAAAGCCTTAGTAATAGTTTCCTGCAGAAGAAGAAATGGCATGTAAGTACTTTTGTTCTTCTGAAATCCGAACTGATTTTGGTGAATTAGCTGGTTTTGGTTTAGATGAAGGACGAGTCTATTGTATATGAGTTTTTCAAGAATTTTGAACATAAACGGCAAAATACTGATAGGTCTGTAATTATCTACAAGTTGTGAATCCCCACTTTTAAAGATGGGCTTAGTCACGGCTTTTTTGAAAATGCTTGGAAATATCCCTGAGGACAAACAGCTGTTGAAAAGATGGAGAATTGGTTTGAGTATAACCTTATAAGATAACTTGAATATTTTTGAATTAGTATTGTCGACTCCAGCTCCGACGTTGTTTAGCCCATCGATGAGAAGAATTAATTCCTGTTCATTAGTGGGGGACAGATCCATTTCATTTTCGACATTTGTGATGAGCTGGAGGGGGTCGAAAGATGACTTAGGCATCTCGTCTTTTATCTGTTGTCCAATCTCGCTGAAGAAGAGGTTAAATGATTCTGCGATATCCGGATCGTCCGTGATAATTTTATTATTAGTACCAATAATCCTGGTTGGATCTCCATCCTTTTTTTGTTTTGATTTGATGAGAGTGTGTAATGTTTTGCATGTTTCCTGGGAGTTCCCAGAATGTTTACGGAATTCATTACTGTAGTATTTCTTTTTGGCTAGCCTAAGAGATGTAGTTAGAATGTTGCGGTAGCAAGTGTATGTTGCAATATTTTGGGGACTGGGGTTCTTCAATTTCTGTTCAAATAGCTTGCTTCTACGCGTAATTGATAGAAGAAGTGCGGGTGACACCCATGGTTTGCGTGAGCTGGTCTTTCTAGAAATGTGCCTTGTGTGAGAAAACCTGGTGATCCCAGCATTGCAAATATACACAATTTGATTTGCAATAGCATCAGGTTCTGGCTCATTTTCAATATCAACAAGATGGTCAACAAGGAGTTGTTTAAATTCTTCCAGCCTTCTGTAATCAAATGTGGTAATGGGTGTTTGAACATCAGGGGAGTGTGGGTGTGAGGCATAGTTCATGGAAGCAAAACTAGGGAAATGATCAGACAAATCATGAAGGAGAATGCCTGTATGCATCACTTTTAATAAGTCATTGCAAAATATGTTATCTAGAAGAGTGCATGATGGATAGCAAGATCGAGTTGTCCTGGATATTGTAGGAAAGAAGCCATTTGAACACATGTTAGTGAAAAATGCATGCACATTAGAATTGATATCAAGTGAGAACAGATCAAAGCTGAAATCACCAGTAATAAATGTAACTTTGTTCATTTTATTAAGCCAAATTAGGCATTGCTCTAGCTCTGAGTTGAAGTGGTGTTTGTCAGTAAATGATATGATTATATTTGGCAAATTATATGATACTATAAATTTGGCAAATGATAATATTAGCATTATCACAGAATAGTTCAGCACAAACCACTTCAGCTGTAGAGAAAACTGGGTTCCAAAGTTGTATAGGATGAAGATGATCAGCAATGTATACTGCTGATCCACCACCTACCCCATTTGATCTGCCGCAGTAGAAAGCTCGGTATCCAGGTAAGTCATAATGAGATTCCAAAGCTGGAGACAGCCATGTTTCAGATATAGAAATAACATGCCATGTTATATCAGTCTGGGCAAGTAGACTACTTAGATCATCCTGCTTCTTCTGGATTGAGCAAATGTTAACATGCATAAGGTTTAGTGCACTGGTATTATGTGGAATAATGGTTTTTATCTTTTCAGGTAAATAGAATGTGCATGCTTCCCTTAGTTTTTCATATTCATCATATGATAGTGAATGATAACTACCATCAATGTTTGAAGCAAATGGATTAAACACCTTATTATTTGAGGTTGAACCCATACAGTAAGGTGTTGATGGAAAGGAAGGTAAAGAAATGTGGATGAACAAGAATGAAGGTCATGGAGGGAGTTCAGAAAAGGGAGATTATTTTAATCAGTTTAAGATGTTTTTGGATGTGATGATCAAGACTTTGAAATGAGAAAGTGTGTGTTGAATGATAGATGCCAAAAACAGATTGTGTTGATGGGACTTTTCTGCTATTCACTGCTTTAGCATGCAGGCATGACATGAGAACACAGGCAATGAGCTTGATAAGTACCTAGAATAAACAAACATTATTATGAGCAACATAAGCCATCAAGCCAGGCACCACTGGCAAATTCCTCTTTACTAGAAATAAGGCATTATAATACAGTGAGTTGTATGTACACCACAGCCATGGTGTCATACACCAGTTTTAAAGAAAATCATGAATGTATGGGTAGTTAACTGAGGAATGTGCCAGCGGTAGCCTAGCCAGGTGACGTCACTAACCAATGGACTCACTACTTTTTAGAACTTGAGAGCCTGGTCTCAGGCCCGGCCCGCCTGCCTTCAACTGTTACAAACTCTTCAAGATTAGCAGCTCTGTTTAGCACATGACCAGCAGGAATGCGGTTCAGGGTCTGAGAGTATATGAATCGATTCTGGCCTGCTACACTTCTGTTCGCCGAAGAGGACAGTGTGGGTGAGTGTCATGGCTTTAATGATCTGCTCACGTGTGAACCATGGCTGTATGCGTACATATCTTTTGTCACGTGAGTTCCTTGCCAGAATGATGCCGTTTTTAGTGTGGAAGTTCATGACCTGGTCATTTTCACGCTTCATATCGGCAAGAACCTTGACTTGTCGAGCTCGCTTATCAGTCAGGTTTTTATGAATGATGATGCCTGGGCCATCAGTCTGCCGGAATTTAGCCTGGTAAACGTTGTTCCGATCGTCCATGTCCTGGAATTTCACCAGCACCCTTTTTTTGTTTTTCAGACGGTGGCACGCCACCACGCCACCCTTTACGTCTACCTTGAGGTTTTCTTTGAACTTGCAGAAAATCATAGAGGCAATCCGGGAACAAAACAGTTTTTCCTTCTTTGGAGAGCAAGCTTAGCTATTTTCCCCTGCTCAGTCCTCATAACTTATGGTGCACAACTGCACAGATGAAAAATAGAGCACAGCCGGAACGGACCATTATCGAAAGACAGAGCTTGCCAGCGCTCGGTTGGCCGATGTGTGGCTCTATTCACTCAAAGCCACAATGTTGGCAGATGCAAATAAACTTTTCTAGGCGAACCTGTTATGCCCTCACATGCCACAGGTCTCACCTGTGCATTGAAACTACGCTTCACCGACACTCGATTCCCTTTGTGTGTCTTTTGTCCGGGGGATATGAGCACGACGCTACAGAATCATCAATGCATATCATTTTCAATGAGCGAAAAGTTCGAGAATTAAGCGTGCCTCACTGATCTGTTACGTTATACACAACTTGCTACGCTACGTGCGTTCGTTTCTGGTTGCGCAGCTCATTTCTTTACATTTTCTCTAGACAGTTCATGTTTTCTATCAAAGGTATTCATTTTCATAGATCTTGCAACCAACTGCTACACATCGTATGACATACGTTAAAGTAAGCGACACACACTAATAAAACATACCCGAAAAAGAGACGGAAAATTTAGCTGCAAGAGCACTTGCCCCCAGAAAGGCACTCACAAATGCAGGACCAGCTGTGAGAGATTCTTCATCTTCTGATGAAGCAGGACGACTTTACAAATGAGCTTGTGGAACACCAAATCGTGGCTTTAGTTTGGTCCTCGCCGCGGGCCTAAAAGGCACTCGACCGTTCGGAAGTGCCGGACCGTGGCAAGAGCCGGATAAAGGGCACATCAGCAATACCGTAGGGTAAATATAATATTCCACATTTCAGAATATTGAAGCAAGCATGGAATATGGTGAAAAAGGCCCTCATCTAACTATTCGTATCGTGGGTGTAGGAACAGTGGGAGGGGCATGGCCCCCCCATTTTTCAAGGTGGGGGGTTAGCAGTGGTAAGTGCCCCCCCCTCCCCCACCCCCACACTTTTTAGATGTAGGTTGTGTTCAGCTTACTTTTGCACTACATTTAACATACATGGTGATTTGCCCAGTTCATCAGCCATCTTCCCCAAAGATGTGTCATCTTTTTCGTTTACTCATTGGCCATCGCTTGCTGTCAGCCGCAGGACCGACGTAGCGCGACGTATGGGGACTGCAAAGCAGGGCGTCGAGGTTGTTGCTGTGACTTGGCGGCGCGCGTTCAAAGCCATATTACATGGTCCTTATCAGTTTTTTCAACTCTGACTGAATCTTGAACATTTCAAGATCAACATGGATTAGCCATGTTACTACAAATCTAAACCGCATTCCATCCACGATCTGGGTTCAGGGAGTCCTCAATATCTCTGAGGAACACATAAAAATATGGAAGTGGAGTACATGTGACAAATATTGGACCATCTGCTGCGAATTTTGTTGTGTCAAGGGGGTTCATGTGCTGATCCGGGGACAACTGCGCGGGTCAAAAGGCCTCCCGTGTCAGGGACGGGAACAACGTGATGTAATGTATCCTTCTAAAGGCCTCCGGATCCACCAGGAGATCCCGCCCCGTATCGCCAGAATGACAACCAGAAGTAAGTTCTTGATGGGACAAAAGGGCCCTTCAGGCATTGACCAAAAGCGGTAACGTGTGCCCTGTCTTCTACTTACGGGGCCTCTCGCCCGTAAGGAAATAAGTGGTCTCAAAATCTGCTGGAAAGAGTGGGGTTCTCGTTACTGTTGAATACAGAGGGTCTAAACGGGTAAAAATAAAACGAACAAGGCCATCCCATGCTGGGAGCGTTCGTTTTTTCAGAATGGCTTAGTGAAACAAATTACATCAAAGGTTTGAACATGCTCGCCCACAACCTCGAGAGTAGGGACAGCGACGGCCTGGGTCGCAGTTTCCTTAAAACCGAACGGTGTCGGTCATTGCAAGTACCACCAGACCGCGGGCGCCATGTTAATCTGCCTTGTAGACAAATGAAGAAGTACAGAAAAACGAAAAATAGGGGTTCCACCTTTACTCTTCCAGTTCCATCACCCGAATCCAGCACCACTTCGCGGTGCTTTAACACGCGCTCGGGTGGGGGTCAAATTGACCTCCCAAAGGTTTTTCCACAATGGCTTCCAAACAGCGCGGCGTAGCCACACCGAATTTTGCATAGCTGTAGACAATGGAATAGCAAATCATTTGACATAAAAAATTTAGATGTACCTTTTTAGGTCGTTGACCCATGGCAGGTCACAACCTGGCCATGGTTTCAACGAGGGCAATTTCTAGGGAATCGTCCAACCTGATACAATAACGGAGTGTTTGACGAAGGCATACGTCTCTGAAAAGCTTTCTTAGGCACCACAAATATTGAATAAGCAAATCACGTTGACCTAGGGTCAGGTGTGAAAGTAAGACCAAGGTCACAACCAACCTCATTTATAACTCAAGGGCTTGCTGTATGAGATAGTTGTGGTGCTCTTTTCGAGTTTATTGACAATAAGAACCGCATCATGCATCTTCCATAGACTTCTTTGGGGTCATAAAAGGTCATTGACTTAAGATGACCCGAGTCGACATTCTGTTTTCAGGCACATACTGCCTAGCGTAATCTTCGTCGCTTATTTAAAGGCAAAACTCAAAACAGTGTTGTATGATTTCGGTCACCATGACCTTCAAAAGCTCGAAAAAGGTTACTGACCTCAAATGGACTTTTGACCTTATGCTTGGAAAAAGTTGCCTTGGTTCTTGGGGCACTTTGGCGACCGACCTGGAATTTGACCATATTTGACCTTATTTAACCTGAAGGTCATGACCTAGGAAGCTCAAACGTTGACCTACGTGAGTTCACATATAGGTTAAGACACCCTGTAAATTCAGTGTTTCTAGCTTTCTTAGTTCTCGGGATATCAGGGGGGTCAAATTGACCCCCACCCGAGCGAATGGTGTCTAGCCGGCCACCCGGGCGCGTGTTACGGGCCAATCCGTTCTTATCATCAGTCGAAGAACCGCACACGTGAAATGTCCACCCAGACTAACTGCTAAAAGTAAGATTTGGTGTCCTGAAGCGTTGAAAAGTACTTTTTTTAAAGCGTCATCATTTTCGTACATCCGTTGGTCACGGCTCAATCTTAACTGTTTGACAGACGCTGCGCGTTCAACGGGGACTGCAGCGCCTGGCGAAGACGTTTTTGTCACTAAGGTTTGCGAGCGCGTATGCTCCATACTACGCCACCTAACTTGTCTAACTAACTGAATTAAGTGTTTAAAGGTGATTATTTCAGAATCGTCATCACGTGCGCATGTTAAAAACTGATTTACATAAATTGTGTCACTAATCGATTCTGACTGAATGTTGAACATTTCTGGACAAACATGGCTTAGGCTTGCTAATTCACATTTTTAACGACTCTATCTACAGCCAAATTTTCATCTTCGAATTTAATCAAATATATCGATCTATAACCTACCTTTGCAATGTTCTTAATGTCTGTGGAACCCATTTAAACAATTCTGAAAAAAAACTTTTGTAATCGATTTAGAAAGAGTCCACGAAATGATTGGAAATTAAGAGCGTCAGAATAGCATAGATGATAGCCTTATTCGGCAAATGATCATCCTGCAAAGGTGGATAGCCTTGCTTTCCGAATGGCATAGACGAGTGGAATAGACAACGATGTGTGGCTGTGAGAAACAGTTCTAGACACATGTCCAGCATAGCAGCAATGCCATGTGAATAAAGAGCGATAACAATCTCCATCTTTGCCCTCACCCCCCCCCCCCCGCGGTCGTCGCGCTTGCTTTCCAGAAAAAGTTCCTGAAGTACGCCCTTTGCTTGCCCACCCCCACCTTTTTGAAACCTTCCTACGCCTTGGTTTTATGTTATGGTTTTAAAATTTTTGTAATGAAAGGGCTATCGATGGTCAAGCATGCTGAGACTTTGATTTTTGACCAGATTTGGCTTCTGGCAAGTGATATGATTTAAGCTCAATTTTGGGTTCAATTTTCAGCTATTTGAGTTCAAATCCCTTAGAATGGTTAAAATCTTCCTTTAAAGAACCGCGTTTCCGCCTCTGGAGTGTCGCCGCGGCAGGTATCCCAATGTACATCTCAGCGTCCTGCCAGCAGCGGCGTGTTAAGCAATGCCTGGTACGGCAGGCTCGTTGTCCTGTCCGTGGTGCAAACCCCGTATCCTCCGGCTGATCCAAAAACTACGCGTGTGGACAAAACGACCCATAGGGAGTATTACTGGTTGTTTTGTTCGCGGCTTTCTTGTTCTCCGGTCTCGTTCCATCTCCAAACTCTTTCAGATGTACTTGGCGATTATGCTGCAGAGAACTGCCTGGGTTCATGGACAATGCAAGTCCTTTTAACGCATGACCAAGTCAGATATTATCAATATGTTGCATGCTTCATCAGCAAGGCTACTTTGATTCGCAACAATGGTTGATCTGCTTCGGCACCAACGAGCGCGGAGTAGTGATCAGAAAGATGCATTCACCGTTTCAGTCAGATTCATAGACAATGGCCGGTTTTCTTACGACTGCATCCGTACAGCAGCCGCGACATCAATGCATTTCTGCAGCCTCTCGGATAGTTACAATCGACGAGCCAATACGATCAAGGCTCAGCGCAAGATGCTTACGGACTCCCGCATGGGTCTAAGAACAACGGCCAACCATAATCCCCGCATTGGCCCTGGTGAGAGAGTAGACCCAGTTCAGGCTGCCTATATCCAATAGTTTACGCGTGAACGCATTCACTTTTCACACAGACTGCGTTGTAACCGCTTGGCACATGGACTTGCAATTATCACAGCACTGTAGACCCACTTGAATTATACGCATTTTGATGTCTGGTTAGGTGTTCCAGCCCTCAGCAGTTTGTTCACTATCTGTACAGAGGCATTCCGGTGTCTTGGCCGCCCATCTCTGCGGCAGTTTTCGCATAAGCGTGTTCACTGTCCATGCCGATTTATTTGTAATGGTTGGCTACTTTTAACTCGCAAATCACATTATAATACTCGACATCAGGTTTTACGCCACTGGCTTCCTGGCATGTGCAACTGCCGATAACAATTTGTTTGATAATGATACAACTAGGTCTTGATGTTCTGGCCGTCGTACTTCGCATAATTCTCATGGGCACATCTTTCAGTTTTATGCCGCTGCATCTTATTGTTTGCGGCGGCATAGGCTTCCAAAACATGCTATACTGCTCTCCATTAAGTTCTACGCAATCGCCTAGATGGACATGTGCGCCTCCCGTTACCAGTCTGTTTAGAATCTGTGCAAAGATTTCCGGTGTTCCGCCTGCCCCGCGGATTTACGCCCCACGGCTAGAGGCCGAACCGCGTTCAAGTCTCCGCACCAATGACGTCACCGCACTGTAGAGAGCGAATGAAAAGCTGTCTTATGACAAACCCCCACGCAAGGCATCTCCTGCTTTTATCCCACATAAAACATCACAAGTTGGTTGGAAAATGTGCAGTTATACACGTTTATCCATCCCGAATCGCCAGCGTAGCCTGTTTTGAACATCCGTGTGTAATTTCATTTCCTATCACCTCAGAAGCGTGAAACGCCGGCTGAAAAGTAAAAGCAGACTTCCAAGCCTGAAATGATGACGTCATCCAAGTTGGCAATTTACTAGCGGACAAGTCGGAGAAAAATGCAGAAAGTTTGGAAAGCCACCAATTTCCCCAGCCAGGTTCGCAACGTATTGACAAGCAGCGTCCGTCGAGCATAACTATTCTTGTTTCTTTGTTCTCACTCTGGGGTCGCCATAGTTCCTTCCAGGGGTCAAGGGGTGACGAGATGTCAGTGTTATGGTGGGCACATACTTTTCTATCTGACTCATAACTGCTGTTCAAAGGTCGCATGCGCCACCTGCCACGTCTGGTCGTAACGGTGGCCCGTGCGCTGCGGCCGCTCAAGTCGCTGCCAGCTGGATTCCAGACGGCAGCGGATCCTTTGTGCAACCCGAGCTCCATCGAGTGCGCTCGCGCTGCTCGGTGGTTGTTGTTCTGGTCGTGTTTAAGAGAAGCTGGGTATCTAGCGATCACAAGTCCACATTTTCACGTTAGTCTTTATCCACAAGCCATCACTTTGAGGTCATGTTACATGTGAAGCAAGGTACGTACGTCCGAACTCGTGCTGCCACTTTCAAACCCACGGGCTGTGAGTCACTTAACTCTAAATTCTAAGAGACTGAAATTTCAACGCATGACTGTGGTACCTGATGGGCATGAACAATGTTCTGGACATCCCTTTCATGGCATGTGCTTGTGTATAAGGCTATCCATCTTTCAATGTTTACGCAAGTGTTTCTTTGTGAAATTGACAATGTGGCTCGTTTGAGGCACCTGCTACCCATGGGCTGTCCATGGCCAAATTGTCTCTACATAGACATGTCTACATATATTCTCATTCAGGACTGTGGTCATTATATCAACCTAGGTGAATGTAAAGTGAGGCCTGGTTTTTTACATTCTTATGCTAGTTGATGTTTGATTTCTCGTCTTTCAAGGTATACATTGCTGATTCCTTTTGAAGAGCCTTCTAAAGGATCACGACGATTTTGTCTTGTGCAAGGAGGATTGATACCTTGGAGCAAGATCATTGCATCTGTTGGTGCTTCAACAGTCCCTTCAAAATGAGACATGTATACACACTTGAAATGAATAAAGTTCAACAGTTTGGCTCATTCTAATTAATAAAAACAGGTAGAGGAATTAACGGCGGTAGATTTGAATGTTCGCGAGACGGCCTTGTTATTATGACCAGATTAAGTATGTCTATCTCGAATTAATACAGGGTCATTAGATGTGAGCCATGGCAAGAATATACAAAAGCGATTGCCACGCTTTAAGATTTCTCACAGGCTCTTTTTTGGCAAAAGTAACATAACAAGTTTTGGCATGTGTACCTGGAATGAAAAATAAGATTGGCCCGCGTATGCTGGATTTTTGGAACACTTTCCGTGCGGGGCGAGTAAGGGCCTTCAAATTGGGGTGCGGGTCGAATGCGGTTATCACAAAAAGAAAAAAAATGGCGGCTTTTGTGGCAGCAAAAAATTGGTTTCCTATGCAATTTCTTTTTAGGGCACTGCAATCTTTTCTCTCTGGGGTCAAGTGTATGCCACATGCTACCACGTGATAAGTGCATACGAGCAGTTTTTCACAGGCTACCAAAAAGTAGCCTGTGAAAAACTTTTGGGAAGGTGTAGTATTTGTATTAGCGCAATCCCACCTGCCCAATAATCTGCACAACCCACACTTATCGCATTGGGCGTCTTTTCCTTCCCTACGGTAATACCACCGGTGTAGTTGGTGCGTTTGAGTAACAGTACAACTTTTAGGTAATAGGATGTCTGAGTGGAAACGGTGACACAGGCGGCCATAATTATTCATCTTGCCATCTCGCAACACAGCTGTCAAACTCCCTAAATTTCGAGGGCAACGAACAGCCACCCCATCCAGTTTACTTTACTTACCTCGCGTAAAAGATGCCTATGGTACACGAGGAACGGGTCTCGCTAGTGCCAATACCCGCAAAATATCGGCGGCGGTTTTTCGAATCAATATCATTACTGCTCTGATGCTTTCCGCGATGCTTCTATTCCCTCGGCAAGCGAGGATACGTGGCATACAGAATAACACCACGCACTAAGATGTGCGTAATAAAGGCTCGTTTCCGAGTCAAAGCATCATCCTCATCTTGACATTATCATTGCGCTGCGTCGTCACATTGCATGCATTACTACGTCGTCATTGCAACATCATCATTGCAGGCACTGCATGGGTTCTGTTGATGGTAGCTGCATCAGCTGGGGCCTGTGTCCCAAATGGTCTGGATTTGAGGCTGTTGAAGGCATTTACGACTGATTTGAGCAAGAACCAGGCTATTGCCCCGTTCGCCATGTCCACACTGATGACACAGGTCTGGCTCGGAGCCAGAGGCGACACCAGACATGAGGTACGTGCGTGGTAACGAGCTCTGCCCACCGTGCTGCTGACTCAAATTGTTCAAGTACTCCAGTATTGTCTCAGACTGCCCCGTACACGCACAAGTACTGTCTCAGACTGCCCCGTACAAGTACTGTCTCAGACTGCCCCGTACAAGTACTGTCTCAGACTGCCCCGTACAAGTACTGTCTCAGACTGCCTCGTACACGTACATGCACGAAGCACGGTGAACGTTTTGCGTTTTGATGGGTGGCGGCAATGCCTTCTGAAAATACAATTACATTTTGCATTATTGTCTTCTTTTCCCCAGGTGGCCACGGTCCTAGACATAAAGACGAGTGCCGGCAGCAGCTTTTTGACATGCTACAAAAGCGCACTCAGTGACTTCACCTGCGGTTCTGGTAACATCACCAACCTCGTGTTTAATCGGATGTACATCAAACGACGGTTCAAAATCAATTCGGGATTTAAGGATCTGTTGCACGAGTACTTCCATGCTGTCGTGAACAAGTTTTCACTCACGGGGCAGGCGGCCTACGAAATAAACACCGGCGTAGCCAAGGCAACGGGAAACCGCATCCAGAACCTTGTCTCACAGAGTGCTTTGCGCTTCAAGTTGGTCCTGCTCAGTGCAGTTTACTTCAAGGGCCTGTGGCTAACCCCATTTGATATGACCGTGAAGGGACCGTTTCTCACGGCCTCAGGAAACAAGCAGGTCGACATGATGAAGCTTTTTACCCGGGTGCCGTATGTAAAGATGTCTGATTTTGATGCGATCTCCTTGCCGTACACGGACGAAAACTATGTTATGCTGATCTTGCGTCCACTGACACGAAATATGGCTGCCGTTTCACGTCTGAAGTACTCCCTGGACATTCTTGACGTCGCCGTTATCATGCAGCGTTTGCGTTCGTCGTCTGTTCAGATAACCATGCCTCGTTTCAAGATAAGAGCAGGTGGCTTTCTAAACAGAACCATGCTGCAGTTGGGAATTCGCAAAGTCTTTACGCGAGAGGCAGACCTGAGTAACATTACGGATAAGTTCCTTGCTGTCGGCCTCATTATCCACAAGGTGTTTATTGAGGTGACAGAGGAAGGTACCGAAGCTGCAGGAGCGGGTGCCGTCACTGACGTGCTGCCTCGACCCGTTCAGTTTATGGCAGATCGTCCCTTCTTTGCCATTGTCTGGAACAGAAAACACAAGATCAACTTGTTCTCTGCGTACGTGGCTTCACCATAGACGCATGGCTATGATGATGCACACTTTTCTGAGACGAGGCATAGTACTTACATTTGTATTGCGTGGATCGCATTAAACATGCAAACCCGACGTCACACATTCCGGAATAAACGGGTGGAAAGCTGGGACCCTTCTCTGACAAAGTTTTTGTATCATTTATGTTTAACCTTACCGATGCTTTTCTGGCAAATCTAGGGAAGTGTTTGCTACTCGCAAACAATGTTCTAACCCACCGTTTGAGTTGAACACTTCTGTCCTCTGCACCACTGTTGAAAGGAATGTTACTATCTTTGTCTTTTGATTTCTTGGGTTTTCATTGGAGTGTATGGGGGACTGTAGTGTGTGTGGCTATCTGCACTAACGTGGGTGATCTGGTGCCTTAGAAATATACGTTTTTGCGAAAATGTTATCTGTTTTTTACATTCCACCACTTTATAAACCCTTTGTTTTTGAATTTTTGGACATGTTGGCTCACAAAACATGAAACCAGGTTCGATATACCGACCATGCGCAATGCTGAGATAGTCGTGGTGCCTGTTGAAGTTTTGCAATGAGAGAACATTTTCGACGAAGAAGACAATTTTGATTTGGCCTGGACAAGAGACAATGCAATGCAATCCATGACAGAATTTTGAATCATCACGCCAGCATGCCTGTGTCTTCTTGAAGGTTAGCAGCCAAAGCAACTAGCATGATGAGTCCTTGGCTCGAATTTCTTTCTGAGTAAGGAAGAACGAAAGTACTGCGCAAAAGCAACCCAAGTCAGCAGCTTCTTTTGCGTTGAGCTATAATCACGTAGAGCGCTTGGCGATCTGTGTGACTCAGCAATGGCTCTGACGATCTGTGTGACTCAGCAATGACTCTGTCCTCAACGTCCTGCTCTTAAAGAGTGTGGCGTCAATGCAGTCGTCGGGAGGGTCTGCGTCCATAGCCTAGGCCTGTTAAGGTCAGTTGAAGATATTGGTCGCGAGATAACGGGTGCACTAGAGCACAGTCATTAAGTATAATATCTCTGGAGCAATATCAAGAAGGCGAGCACAAATTGCTTGTTCTCCGGACAATTCAATAACTACGCGTATGGACCAACAACCCATACGGAGTCGAAATGTCCATCCTGTCCGGGGCTTTGTCGTTCGTCGGTCTCGTTCCTCCTCGAGCCTTGTTCAGAGCTATACGGCGAATATCTTGCAGAGAACTGCCTGGGTTAGCAGAGAAGACGTGTCCTTCTAACGCATGACTAAGTCAGTTGTCACCAATATGTCGCATACTTCATCAGCTAGGCTGTTGTGATCTGCAATAATGATCGGTCTGCTTCGCCATCAACGAGCTCAGAGTAATGATCAGGAAGATGTATTTACCGTGTTTGGCAGGTTCATAGACAATGACCAGTTTTCTCACGGCTGCAGATGTACAGCAGCCGTGGCATCAAGGAATTTCTTTGGCTGTTCGGACAGATACGAGCCTCATACCCTACCAAGCCAGCTCCTATGCTTCCCCACCCGCTACTGCTACAGAAATGATGTTCACTATCCAACATTCAATATCTTTGTCATGTACGGTTCCTATCTTTACGGAGAATATATCCCAGATCACGCGTTCATGAAATATAACCTGCCGACTCGTTTTGAATGCAGCGTATTTTAGAAATGCGGAGGCAAAGCAACTCAGTTTTATGCACCTGATGCTATAGTACAATAATTTGCGTTGATGCCTGAGACCTGGACACTTCTGCATCTCATGATTTTGCGGGAGGGAAGTGTTGCCATTCAATGCTTTAGGAAACGTGATTCCTTGCGGATGAAACCATTTCCAGAGGAATGTTGCAGCCATTGGACCGCCTGTTTCTCGAACTTATTCAGTTGTGATCGAAAACTCCACATTACCCTCAATATCAGCATTCACAATGTTAAAAGACTAAAGTGCCTCGAGTGCCAGTAATAACGGTCGTGTACCATCCATTTTACACCAGGCGTAGGAGAGTGATTATGTAGGGCAGAATCACGCCACGTTGTTGCCGAAGGTTATCATCAAGGCCAAGTGATATCGAGGTCATTTGATGTCAAGCCAGTTCAAGTCAGTGTCATATCAGTATATTGGATTGTAATTTTATAATTTCAGCCAAGTCTGTTCGAGAGAGGTAAAATCGTCTAGTGATTCTCGCTTCATCTTCGCCTAACGCTAGCGTGACATCACTAGTGAGAAGACTGAGACTTCAACACCCTGCGGCCTGCCACAAGCGAAACGTAATACTAATACTGAGGAGCCATCGGAAAATCAAAATATTCACACGGATTATGAAAAGCCGCTAGCACCAGGGGCATATCACCAGCAGTCCGATAGCTTAAATTTTTGTCGTTGCAAATATCGCGATGTGCTCTGCAAACATATGCGGGAAATCTTTAAAATCCAACGTCACGTGAAGTGAAGATGTGCACACGAGACTTTTTCGCAAAAGGGTCGTAAGAATATGGGGCTGACTTTGTACAACAAACGAAAAAACTATTAGTGGGAGATGCAGGTGACTAACTAACCGATCGCGTGGAATTTAAGGACGGGTATGACAACGTACGTGACAATCTCAACACGCGCTCAGGCGGGGGTGGGCCAGATTGACACCCCTCCCCCCGAAGATTTTCCTGAATGGTTTCCGAACGACGTGGCGTAGCCGTGCCAAATTTGGGATAGCTGTAGACAATTCAATAGCGGATAGTTTTGAATAATAAATTTGGATGTACCTTGTAAGGTCGCTGACCTATGGCAGATGAAAATCGAGCCATGGTTCCAGCGAAGGCAATTCTAGGGGAACCGTCCAATCTATTGCAACAACGGAATGGTATACGAAGCCACACATATCTGAGATGCTTTTTTAGGAAACACAGATATTAAATGGGGAAATTACGTTGACCTAAGTTCAGGTATGAAGGTCAGTTGGAAATGATGGTAAATTAATGATGATGGTAAAATGATGTAAAAAGTAAAATGACGATAAATCAAACCATGGTCAAAACCAAACCCATTTCATTACTCTAAAGCTCGCTGTATGGAATAGCTTTGATGCTCATTTTGATATTTTTAGCAGCAGGAACCGCATTATACATCTTCCATGGACTTCTCAGAAGTCAGAATAGGTGATTGGTCTAAGATGACCGAAGTCGACATCTTGTTTCTTAAAGAGCATACTGCCAAGCGTAATCTTTATCGCTTATTCAAATGCAAAACTGCAAGCAGTATTGTATGATTTTGGTCACATGGCCTTCAGAAGGTCAAACAAGGTCACTGACCTTAAATGAGCTTGTGACCACTTGCTTAGAAACGGTTATCTAGGTTCTAGGGGCACTTTGGAGACAAACCTGCAAATTGACGTTGTTTGACCTTAGTTGACCCGAAGATCATAACCTAGAAACCTCAAACTCTGACCTAAGTTAGTCTGCATACCGGTCAACGCGCCCTGTAATTTAATGTTCATATCTTTCTTAGTTCCCGGGATCTCAGGGGGGTTAAATTGAATCCCCCCTCCCCGTGATTGTGCCGCCACTGGTGGTGCCAGTGTGTGGCGAAAGTGGCCAGTTTCCTGTCTGCTGCAGTACAAACTGCTGTGTTAGGTCTGTGCCTGCCTGCGAGCCCGGCCCTACTCGTTCCGTTCCTGTCCACATAGCTGCTGTGCTCGAGACGTACGTAATATCCCCATACAGCGGTGCTCGACCCATGCCTATCTACCTTCCGACGTGCGCGGTTTGTAACTATTTGTGGTGGAGCTCGTGCTCGGTCCTCACCTGCTCTGCATTCCGGCGTGCTCAGTCCGTACCTTCCTGTGGGGCCTGCCGTGCTCGGTCCGTATCTGTTCGCGGGGTCGGCAGCGCTCCGTCCCCATCTGTCTGCGTCGCCATCGCAAGTGTCGAGCCACGTATGTTGTGCTCTTGAGACGTTTATGCGCTTTATTATGTTTAAAGAAATGCCACACCTCTGAGATACGTTCTCAAAAAAATGTTATAGTGAAACCTCATGAATAGTTACGTCTTAAAATGACACTTAGTAGTACCACTGTAGCACCGTCAAGACATAATAGGGATACCCATTTTACTTCTTTGCAAGTCCAAATTACGATGCCAACGCTTCTGTCCTGCAGTCGCAACCGCCGTCGCCGTGGTAACCAACGTGCGCGCCCTTACTGGTGCGAATGAAATAACGTTTGTGGTTGGCCCAAAGAGCAAGGGACTGTTACCGAGATGCGCTTTGGTTGATGTTTGAACCAGTGCGTTGCATGGATCATGGGATACTCCCATTTCAAACGTCAATATTCGCCTCGAAAAGAACCACTCGTGAGCGCCATAGGGGAGAAACCAAGCCCAAGGTATGACGTTTCGCTGAATTTGCAGAGTAACCGCCTCACATTCGCATATCTCTCTGTCTAAATTGTGTTTCAAGCTGTGGTAGCAATTATTACACATACGTTTTGACAAAGTCTCGCGTTGCAGGTTTATTTTCTCTAAATGAACAGAATATAGAGTGCGCGGCATTCGCCGCGACTTGGTATTTGAGTCAGTAACTTGCGTAAGTACATAGACGGATGCCTCCTTTTAGCCAGAACTGTACTCAGGGTGATGCACTTTACTTAACTTTGACTTGAGTTCTTAGCGGGATGGTTAAAGCGGGCTAAACTCATTTATGGCCAGGTTCCTGCCCCATTCACTGCCTGTACACTGCAGATAGACCAGATGCCACAAATGTTAATGGACACTCTTTGTAAGGCACAAGTTTTTTAATCCTGGTGCCGTTTACAACTCTATGTACCACACCTATCTGCAAGCGCATCTAATTTGGATAAAATATGGATTTGATGGTGATCACTGTTGCCATGTCACAACAATAGAGGCATCATGGAATGTGTGCTTGCTTCCATACGCTACAAATTTTATTCCTTCTGCTTGCATTTGTGGGGAACATAGCAGTGCGGAGCAGTTGTGGACCTCTCCTGCAATGGGAACAGGCTGACGCTCATGCTGCAGACCTTCCTGCGCATGCAGCTTTACGTGCTGTGTGAGAAGGACACTGCGCAGTGTGGCAAGGGCGCCAACAGGCAGAACCGGAAAATACTGAAGGATGTCTCCGTGTGCAAATTTGAGCTTCACGTAGCGTTTTGTACCAGAAAGTTAGGTTAGACTCCAGTCCCAAAAGCTTTCTTGTAGCCGGCTATCACCGCCACCCAAACCCGAAGTGGCTGCGCACAGCGGCTAGATGCCAACAGCACGTGAATCCACTCCATAACTTCCCCTGACTGATCGTCTTTAGCCCTTTTTGCGTCCATTTCATCGTTGCCTCGCTGTATTTTGCGGTTTTACCATTGTAAATGGCTAAAATCTGGCATCTATCCACCTGCCTGGAGC